AAAAAAAAAAAAAAAAAAAAAAAAAAAAAAAAAAAAAAAAAAAAAAAAAAAAAAAAAAAAAACTTTATTATATTACCACAAATTCATTAAATAAAATAAAGTAAAATATCACAACTTTTAAGCTTTTGTAGTTTTCCCATTAACTCTTATTTTAATTTTTAAAAGTAATATAGAAAATGTTTGGAGTGTTCGTGTGACACGATGATTAGAATAACTCGAATTGTCCAACCAAAACCATGAGCGTTAGATTATAATTATTATTTTCTTTAGGTTTGGTTGAATATTTTGAAATTTGAAATTTTAATTGTTGCTCTGAAAATTTTTAATACTATAATTTTATAAAATTGTAGTTATTAATGTTCAAGTCTTTCTTCTGAGCTTACTCAGAAGAGAATACGGTCTTTCTTCAACGTGAATATCTGAATAGGACGGATGACTCTGCCGTTTGCTCTAGAAGATAAGTAAAATTTTTAAAAATAATTAAAAAAAATAACTTGACTACTTAATCAACCGAAAAATAACGAATTGAGCTGGGTTGGAACCTCAAAAATTGAAAATAAAATCATTATTGGGCCTAAAATGTGTAAGAATTTATAATAACCAAAATGAAAGATTTGATTGTAAAAATAGGGCAAAATAAAAAGCACACCAACTTTCCACTACCTTTGTTAGGATCATTAGGCGCACTTAATATCCATCTCTTATCATTTCTAACTTGACAATTCAATACAAAAATATTGTATGGTTCAAATGAAACCATGTCCTTAGTAGATGTACCTCTTATTTTAATATCGATATCTACTTAGTGGATTAAAAAGTATACGTGACTCTAAAATTGACCACTGTGCGTATGCCTAGTTCTCATTTATATATATCCATCGGGTGAAGTTTTAAACCTCTTATACCGATGATTCGGATCGAGATTTCGATACTCAATGCCCCCAACATCCTTATTTCAACATATTTTGTCTTCGCTTACATGTTTGATATGAAAATTTGCAGTGGGTCACTCAACATAGAACTGTTCTAAGACAAATACACTTAATTTTAGAGTTTCTATGACTAATTCACCGAAAAAAAAGTGGGTCTTATTGATATAGATAGTAACTATCACTTTTTTAAAAAAATATTTCTTAACTATAACTTTATGTCATCATAATAATGCACAAATAAATATATTAGACTGAACAACTATAAGACACGGAATTGAAAGTTTTAATGACACAAGTTTAAAAATTTAAGCTCGGACCGAAATGGATGCTATCTTTTTCCGTTCTTAGTCAAATTTTGTTTGAAAGTTCATAGTAAGAACATTTCCCACACTGACCATAAAATTGGCTCATTGGGCAATTGGGTACCACATTGGTGGAAAAAAGAGGCCACACTTACACCATTTTTTAGTGTTTGTGAGTCCAAGTCAATCACCATTATAAAAGTGTGTGTTCATTTTGCACTCATAAACCCTTTATAAATCCCCTCCTTAATCCCCCTCTCATACCCATTATCCTCCTTCCAAGAACCTTAATTATGCACTTCTTTCTCACCACTGTCCTCTTCCTTAGCCATTGCCTCTATGTATCATCAACAAGATGTCCGCCACCCCTACCGCCGCCGCCGCCGCCGCCGCCACCAGAGTGTCCCCCACCTGAGTCCCCGCCGCCGCCGCCTCCAGAACCTTGCCAATGCCAACCGATCCTCAGTTTCTTAGACCAAAGACTGGCCGTGGTGTACCCCATCATTCAGAGCTTCAAAGCTCTCATCACTTCTGACCCATTTGGCGTCACACAAACATGGGTCGGCTCTGATATCTGCAAATACAAAGGCTTCTTCTGTGACAATCCGCCCGACAACAAATCCGCTCTCGCCGTGGCAGCCATTGATTTCAATGGCTACCAACTCTCCGCCCCCACGCTTGATGGCTTCATCGACGCCCTCCCGGACCTTGCCATCTTCCATGCCAACTCCAACAACTTCTCCGGTACAATCACCCCCAAAATTGCATCACTCCCATATCTCTACGAGCTTGATTTAAGCAACAATCAACTGTCGGGTCCTTTCCCAACCGCCGTTTTGGGTGTCACTGATCTGTTCTTCTTCGATATCAGATTCAATTTCTTCACTGGGTTTGTTCCTCAGCAGGTCTTCGTAAAGAATTTCGACTTCCTGTTCATCAACAACAACAATTTCGGGATGAGATTACCCACAAATTTCGGTTCCACAACCGCTGCTTATATCACTTTAGCTAACAACAAATTCACTGGTCCGATTCCAAGAAGCATTGGAAAGGCTGCTGCTAGTTTAACTGAAATCTTGTTACTCAACAATCAGCTCAATGGGTGTATTCCATATGAAGTGGGGTTCTTGAAAACAGCCACTGTTTTCGACGCCGGTGAGAACTTGCTGACCGGCCCGTTGCCTTGCTCGCTCGGCTGCCTGGAGAAGGTTGAGCAGCTGAACTTTGCCGGAAACTTCCTCTACGGTCAGGTGCCGGAGGTGGTATGTGAACTGGGGAATTTGCTAAATCTGTCGCTGTCGGATAATTACTTCACCAAAATTGGGCCATCTTGTAGGAAACTGGTGCGAAGTGGGGTTCTTGATTTGAGAAAAAACTGCATTCGGGAGCTGCCTGATCAGAAATCGCCGTTGGAATGCTTCCTGTCCTGTTTGTTTCGACATCCTTGTCCATTTCCAGCAACTTATGGCTTTGTTCCTTGTAACAAATCTGCAAGTATCATCCATTCTTCTGGCTCTGGCCGACAGAGAAGAAGCTCTGTTCCTATTGACAATGGTGGTCTTTCCACTAAAAAACCTGAACTATGAGTGTTTGTGTGTGTTATGTCTGGTTATAGTACAAGAGGATTAATAATCCACGTTGAGTGAACCATTATAGATATTTAACACTAACAACATCCGTGCCTGAGAGGCGAACAGCTTCGTCGTGTCTGCGAACGCTGTCGCCATCACCGTTCACCAGCGGCGGCACCCGTATTCACCTCTCTTTCGAATACAAAATTTTAAAAATATTCCGATGATTTTTATTTTTCAAAATAATTCCACGATGAACTCAAGTGGACTGAAGTTTATATCCCAAAGATAACCCATCAGAGGATATAAAATAATTTACTCTCTTTGTGTGAAGTTGGGAAGGAGAACAAACCATCATTTATAAGGGTGTGGAAACCTTCTCATAGAAAACACGTTTAAAGCCTTGAGGGGAAGCCTAAAAGGGAAAAAAATATAATATCTGCTAGCGGTGGATCTGGGCCAATACAAATGGTATTAGAGCCTGGACGATGTGCCAGTAAGAACGTTGGGTCCTGATACCAAACACTGGACAATGTGGACAATGGGCCCCAAAGGGGGTGGATTGTGAAGTCCCACATTAGTTGGGGAGGAGAACAAAACACTATTTATAAGGGTGTGGAAACCTTCCCCTAGCAAACACGTTTTAAAGTCTTGAGGGGAAGCCCAAAAGGAACCCAAAGAAGACAATATCTGCTAGCGGTGGATCTGGGCCGTTACGCTTTGTGATTTTAAAATTTTAATTTAGCTTGAAATTATTTTAGATTAATTTCAGTTTGGTCTCTATTTTGCATACTTAAAGTTCAGAACTTCAAAATTCAGCCGACATAAACATGAATTTCAAAACTCAGTTAACATGAACATAGTTTAATTAGTTTAAAGAAATATTCTCGATTAAAAAGTAGAAAAATACTCACTAATTATATTCAAAATGTTTAGGGAAATTTAAACAGTAATATGACTAACTTAATAGAGAAATCATATAGTGGACTGACCTGAAATGCTGGGGATACCTAAATGTTGCAATAGACCAACATTTCTCAGTTAGGAAACTGGGAAGAAGAATCTTAGAACAACAATAAACTTCCCTTTAAGGCAAACTATTATATATATACTATATTCATGATCTACAAATCATTGCTAAGCTTTTGAATAGCATGTTTACCTTACCACAGAGCAACACCAGCCAACCAGCCAACGTTCCCAGAATTATGTCGAACTTTCAGCAGCACGTTTTATCTGCAACGCAGCTCTAACGACGTTTCCCCTAGTAATGATCCCCACCTTTAACATTCAAACACAAGCAACTGAGATGGTTGCCTATTACCGAGGGAGCTTTAAGAAGTTAAGATGGTTTAAAGAAAAATTCCTACCAGCTTGCCATCTGCATCTACTACCGGCAATCGACGATATTTTGTTTCAAGCAACAACCTAAACAATCGATAGTTTCAGACTTCGGTAGCCACAGATTAACTTATAAAAATGGGTAAATTCTTGATTCTGCAGTCTTTTCTCTCTGAAATGTGTCATTTAAGCGTTGTTTTTTTTGGAAATTGGAAACTTTTTGCACAGCTTATGTACACAGAATGAAAAAGTTTGAAACAGAACGAACTACGGAAGAGAATAACATGGACACCCGCACATCAAAATCTCTAAGAAGTAACAGTTGCAAAAAAGGAGGAAAAAAACTAGTCTTTTTTCTAAGAATGTATATAAACAGTCTAATTAAATGAAATTGCATACTTAAAAAGAAAATTTGATTAAATGTTTAGGCTGAAACATTGAAGAAACCATGGATTGTATAGATTCAGATAGTATAACAATGCAGAAGAGAGAGAAATAAAAGGATTACCTGGCAGCATCTTCTAAATTTGAAGTTTCACGAACAACTAGCGGAGCAGGTGTCATCAGGTCGCCAACAACTTTACCATTTGTTTTACAGAGAAGTTTCTGTAACTCATTGAATGTCTGCCACCATATTCAGCAAAAATATACTTTCATCATTTTTTTTTTAAAATTTAGAAACAGTGGTGATCATGACTCTATTCTTTCTTCAAAGAATTTTAAGGAATAAAGGGATGCCAATAACAGAGCTAAATTCAACGAGTCTTCTTTCTCTGTATAATTTTACTTAGTCAAGGGATGTCAATGGCAGAGCTAATTCCTGAGACTCATCTTTCTCCGAAAGATGTTACTTAACCAAAGGATCTCAACATACCAAATTAGTACTCCAAGGATCAATCGAACAATATTTTCGAGTAAAAAATAAATACTAAAAAAATTCTTTCTGATAATTTGGGTTCAAATAGCTGAAACCCAACCCAACCAATTTGGTTGATTGATTGAGTTTTCTGAGTCATTGTCTTCTTAAACATCTCTCATGTTTGCCAAACAAGAAAAAAAAAAGCAAATAACCAGAAAATAAATGACATTGCTTACATACTTTCCACGAACTATCCACATCAGGAAACAGATTGGTATCGCTTTGAGTACCACCTAATTGTCAATAACAGGGGGAAAAGATTAAGAGAAGCAATGGAATAAATGGATCACAACAAAATATAAAGAAAATGTAATTTTGCCTTCAGAGTCCAGCAAGGGAGAGTGAGCTAAACAACTTCTAATGACTATTTTTCCTACTTTTAAACTTGTCTAAAAGTTCAAAAATATTTTGGAAAAGTTGTTGCTAGACAAAAATAACATTATCAAACAAGAACATAATCGATAACATGCAAACAGTAAAACATATTGTCACTTGTCCACCTTTGCATCAAAATAGAGTTTGATGAATCAACTTAATCAACGGTAAAAAAGTTTAATTGATGTTTATATCCTGTTCACATAGCAAATATTCATTCTAAATGTTTCAATGCATATGACTGGGAAATGTTTGGTCTCTAGAAAACAAAACTGATTTGAAGGAAGATTCTTAGGAATCAAAATAAGAATTAAAAAAAGTATTAGTAATCAACAAATAAAGAAGGATAGAAACCCGATTTCAGTCAGAAAGTATACAAGAACAACTGTTCAAGTATTAGTGATTTAAGTTGAAATACCTGAAATGGAATCAAGTGCTAATAAGTCATAATCTGAGATGACTCCGACCTGCCACAGCAAAGCACTAAATCAAATTATTGAGTACAGCAGGTAATTGGATTCAATAGTAGTTAGGATTCTTGACAACAAGTAATCTAAACGTAGGTGGACTAACTTCCTGACATGGCTTAAGGGTAACCCTTCGACCATAGATGAACATTCACCACAACTCCACAAAAATGAAATGAAAAATGACCACACAATGTTGATATATTTTGCAAGATTCTCAGTGACAACAAACCGAAGGCCCCTTCCCCAGTACCCCCCGCAAGAACATCAACGGACCTCAGTAATTCACTTCCACGGTAAGTTGGCAATGGCAATATAAAAACACTCACGGGAAGCACAAAAGGGTGAAAGGAAAAAACTCTACCAAATTCCAATCTTCATCGACAACAGGAAAACCAGTTATTCTCTTCTCCACCAAGGCCTCTAATGCTGTAATCACAAAAGCTGATGAATTAAACAATTATCATTAGTAACACTAATGAAAATAATTAAAATTAAAGCACTAAATCAACCGCACCTTCATCAGCTGTTGTTGTAGGCTTAACAACATAAAGATTCTCCTTTCTCGTCATAAAATCACCAACCGTATACGTTCCTCTGATCTGAAATCACCGTGATAAGAGCTAAATACGGACGGCCAAGCAGTCAAACAGAAGTATAAAACAGAAGGCCTAAAATAGCCATAGACAAGTCCCCAAAATCCTCGTTTCTAAAACAAAATATATAAATAAACATAACATATATATTGTTAATAAGTATTTTTGAGGCGTCTGGTTTGGTTCTATTTTCCATTCTAAAATTTTGCAGCATACTCGTAGACGGTGCTTGATTATGTTCCTTCGATGAATCGTCAACAGGCAGAAGTGTAATCTCTCTATTTCTTCACAACCGAAATGGCAGCATACTTTTGCGGTTATGTTCATACGTGTTAATGCAGAACAAACATAGAAATCTTAATTAAGCGAAGCGAACACTTCATTCACTACATAACATTAAACCAGCACATAGAGTCCCGTTTTCAGTAAATAACCTAAAGACAGTAACGTAAACGTGAAGATGAATAGAACAAATGCAGCCAAAAGAACGTGGAAAAGAAATGACAAACCGGAAAGGAGCCGACGACGCTAGCTCCAGAAGAAGCAAGAACCAACGGCAAGGGAGGTCGAGTGGAATATCGATCGGAGATCCCAAACCGCTGCAGCTTAGAAAGATAATTAGACGAAGGCAGAGGCTGGCGACGCCATGGATGCGGCTGAGAGTGGCAAAGATGATGAGGATAAAGCCGCGCCAGAGCATGTGAATTGGAGAGAGAGATGGAGCTCATTTTGCTTGGTGCTTGACGAGTAGCTGAGAATTCCACAGATGGAGAACCGATTACAATACTCTGGGAATAGAATAGTTGGAAGAATCAATGGCTGATCTACCGGAGGGTAGAAAATTACAACCGAAAATCTTCGAAATCAAAGAGGAATCGGAAAATTAGGTTGCAATTGACTTCCGTTCCGTGCAAGGAAAGGAAGCGACACTTTCCCAATAAAACGCGGGTTAAATGGAGAGAGGAAAATCCCGCCTGGTCGGTCGGAGATATTCAACAACGTTCATGACTTTAATCAATGAACGGACGTACAGTGTGAGATGTTGGGCTCCAAAATTAACAGTAATAATAATAATAAAATGTATAAATTATCAAAAATATCATTTTAATTATTGAATTTTTTTAGTTTTTTCCTTAAGTTTCTGGATATAAAATTGTATGTATTTTTGTTGGTTCAAAATTCAAAAATTAAAATAAAATTTTAAAGAGGTTGAGTGTAATCAAAGTCGCTAATAGATATTGTCTTCTTTGGAACTGTAACAACTCAAACTCATAGCTAGAACAATATCTACTAGCAATAAATTTGAGCTGTTACAAATTGTACCAGAGTTCAA